GAAACTAGTGTTCTACATTCCAGCATTTCATCAGCTCTTACATGCATTCATAACTATCAAACTCAAAACTGTCTAGCAGCCAAACACTCTTGAGGATTGAAATGAAGGATTGAAATTACTGGACTTGAAAAAGTCTTGTTCAGTTCCCAGTACTCCTGTTAAGAGCAGGATCAAATTTCCCAATATCAGTAAGGAACAATCCAGTTAACTCTAATGGGAAACTAGAAGGCAGTAGGGCCTGGGGTGGTATGGGAGCTAAAGTGCACCATTGATAGCCCCAGAGATCAGAAATTCAGGGCCATAGCCAAAGTGCTCACGACAGCCCTGTCTAATTCCAACATATCAGTGAATTCTGCTAAATACCTTGTAACAAGGATGTGAAAAAGGAAAGGAAAGAGGGCAGTATTTCAAGTAATGCAGGATAAGTAAACTGGGACATGCTGTTGAAATAAAAATCTAGTGTGGGTAAAATGTCCAGCAGGAAGATCTAAATATTAGATTGGTGCTGAGAATAATGAATGTATGGGATGAGTAAATTCTGTGTATATAGGAGATAGTGTAAACATTGAACAGAAAACAGTCAAATTAATATTGGCTGCATCTACATGAGAAGTTGACTATGCAGTAGCTCATTACTACTGCACTTTAGTGTTGCATGGTATGAAGCATGATATGACAATACTGTGCAGTAGTAACGAGCTACTGCTCAGTTAGTGTCACCTAAAAGTTGGTCGGGTATGTTCCTGTGCAGTCATTTAATACTTGTCTCGTGTAGACGTAGCCCTCGTGACCTAAAATAATATTCAGTTATTAGCTTTCTATCATCATACTGTAGCACTTAATAGCATAAAATACATTTTTAGTCTCAGCAAACTAAAGTAGGATTTATAACTTGCATTTACAGTTCTAAGTACATCATCTTAGAGATTTTCAAACATGAGTCTCTCCTCCTGATTTATAGCTTTTTATGATGAAGAGATCCTAAAACAGAAAAAAATAATCTCATATGCCTAATAATTTGATTAGTGTGGTATTCTTGACCTTGTATTCTGGAAATTCACTTTCTGCTTAATTATGCTTTTATTTTGTGCCAGTATTTGGGCGCTTAACCTCTGAAGACACTGGCATTAAAAAAATAACACA